ATGAACCAGTTCAAGCGAACAAAACAAAGCTAATCCCGATACTGCGGTCGCACCCACTTCCCTCCCCTTAGGGTTCATAGTGATGACCCCAACATCTATTAAAGAGCCTGGAATCTTTCTTGAGGGCCATAGCATCGCTTTCGTAGGCGTGACTGCACCGCGTCAATGGACATGCGCAGGTATTTTGATCGCTAATTATTTTAGCATCTTCCTGATCCTGGACCGAGAGCAACTGATTTTGTTTCTCTATAAGAGGTATTTGAAAATACCGGAACTCATCCTCTTTAAACGAATAAGACTTGCGAATTTCAGCTCCGAGGCCTTTGCTTCATGAGCTGTTTGTTGCCACCTCGATTGTTGGGCGGTCTTCTGCTACTTGTTGTTGGGTCTGTTTGTACTTCGAATGTTTTTGGTTTGCTCCACCGCATAATCGCCTTCTTTCCTTTACCTTTAGGCAAAGTTCTGTTGTGGACATGTTTTGCCTCTGACCTCTTTCTACCCTTCTTCTTTAAGAATCCTCGGCGCGTTCTCCTCGCACTTTCAAGTCCTTCCATCTTTGGGGTTGGTGCCATTCCTGATAGCTTGAGCATGTCCATGAAATGATTATTGTGACAAGTCTCTGAGGAAAAGTCTTCCGCCTGGACCAGATCCTGCAGTTCATTGCTTTGTTTTCGGAATCTCTTCACGAGTTTTCGACGCTGTCTCACCATTTTTCTGTTCTCGTCAAATATGGCCCGAATCGAAATCTCCGTGGAGGGGACGGGTCTCCGCAAGAAGTTGTCAGAAAATGTCCTCCATGTCATTCCTGACTGCCTGATACTCCCGGCTAGCGCAGCGATTACAAATCGAAGCGCTGCTACGCGAGAGTGCCAACGAATGACCGCACCATAAGGCGTTCATTCCCGGAGATTATTCCTAAATAAGATTTAAAAATATATCAAATGTTGGGTTGGGAACCCTTCCACAAATGGCGTTAAAAATTGCGGATCAAGTTGAATTTCGCGCGGGTATGGAACTTGATCCCACTCCCTTGGATATCGACATGGTATCCCAAGACCTTTTTCATTCTTGAGCAACAATCAATGCGTAATCGTCTCTCAAGTCCCTGCATTTCTTAGCCCACCGTTATCCTATTTTCGACGTGTATTCGGGGAATAGTAAACGTATCTGCCTTTGTGTGTTATCAGTCCAAAGGGCACTCCCATATATTTTGTGACGAGGGGGTTCGATGTTGGCATTATCTTCTTCCCCTCTTATG